ACTTACGTAGTACTGACTATCGTACTGTATAGTAAGTAGTAGTAGTAGTGAGTAGAGAGTAGACGAGAGAGAGAGAGAGTAGAGAGAGAGAGAGAGAGAGAGAGAGAGAGAGACCCACCGGATAGGGCTTGACCTCAGGTGGTCAGTCCCATTCTTTCCTCATCACTGTTCATTTTAATGGACTCTGCTTTTTCCATAGAACATTGGATTTTTGGTGTAATTTTCACTTCTCATTTAAGGTTATATTACTTGAGCATGCAGGTATATGGTCGAAACCTGTTCTGGTTCACTGTTTTTTTTGGAAGTGTCACAGCAATCAGTAGATCTCTTGTGGCTGATGAATACCAGGTATTTGATCCCGAAGGTGCAATGTCTCTAGTTTCTCAGCATACTCATTATATGCGAAAGAAATGGCGTGGTAAAGAATACACTGACAGACTGCGGGGAGAGTTTGAAGCTCTTTGCCAGGTAAACGAGCTGCATGCTTGAAGTTTTTTTTTTTTTCGAAAACATAGAGCTGTATTTTTTTCAACCATGTTTGCGAGGCAGGATTGAAACCTTGATGTCATGTTGTTGCTCCACCACCCTGACCGCATAGGCCTAGGGCCTATTCACGAAAACAAGTATCTGTAGTGGGATGCTATTTAATATTGAAATATATCAATTTACTAGTATCGTGAGCTTATTAGGGTGATACCATGATATTTATATCTTGCGAAAAATTTTATCTACCCGTGGACGCCTTTGGACTTGTTACCTCTTTCTCGAGACTTACTCCATATTTCAAATTTTTTATTGTGAGTTAAGTAGTTTTTGTGGGGATATTTGTATTGCCATTGACAGATCTTTTATATTTAAACATTTGGATGTGAAAATCCATACTGTATAACTCTGATTTGAATAAACAAAAATTACTCACCAGAGAAACAGTGGTTGCCTATCTTCAAAACTCATGGACATTGTGCCATTTGGATAGCAATCACAAGAGCCTTGTTCTTCAAAATGAACTGAATGTGGAGAAGTTGTTGTTGTTGGATAGTTATGTTTACATTTATCAAACTCTATGGACAATAGCCTTTTGTATATTTACTGCTTGGTTTAGCTGATGGATATCTTTGTCAAATATATCTCCCAAGTCAACTTTCTTGCATCCAAACTTTATGTTGCAGCATTATGCTCCTTGGCTGAGAGTATAAATAAGAATCTAACTATGTTGCCTATATGTCATTATGTATTCTTTAAAGTTTTATTGTATTGATTGAAACTAAAAAGACGAATTCCATCATTTATCTTATAACTTTAAATATTGAGAATTTCTTTGTCTGGAGTTGTCCAGAACTCAACTTTCCTTTTTCCTTAAAACAATATTATATGCACATTTTGTATGCAACTGAATTCCCCAAGTGTATTGTGTGTAATATCTTATTTATGTTTTGCTGAGTCTCTCTCTCTCT